GATTGCATCCATCCTCAGCGGGGTCTGGGGTATGATAATGATGATCCGTATGGTCAGTGACTCCCTACCGGACTACAAATTACAACAAAAGTTTGTGTGCCTCCAGTTGGTCCTTGTCTTAGCAAAGCTCCAGGGTTTGGTCCTAAGGATTTGCGTTTGGGCTGATTTGTTCCCCTGTAGAGCCCCAGTGACCTCTGCGGTGTATGCGAATTGTAAGTTAAAATCAAGTCATTTTGAGTTTATACCCAGTTTTGTTGTCATTTTTGTTGTCAAAGGCATTTAATGAATAAGTGGATTCATGGAAAGTTCATGTGGAGTGATCTAAGCGTAAAATCTCCACTGATTGACAAATTTTAATAATTTTATTCTTACAATCTTCCTACCCTCCTTCTTTACCTCCAGCATCAAAACTGCAAAAATGTCGCATAAAATACACCCATGTGAGAGCCAAGAGCTCCTATTGCAGCGTAAATCATACCTACCTGATCTGTAAGTCTCACATTCAACCCTGGACAGTTCATTCCTTGAAAACCTTTTGTTTAGAATATTTGTCCGTACCTTTCAAATTTTACTGACTCGGCACCAGATGCCTATTTCTATTTTTAAAAATTAAGCAGGTACCTAACATTTCATATCATCAAAGCAAATGCAGCGAACTATCTGCACTTTCTTGAAAATCAATTGAATTACTCCTACGCCCATGGTGTCAAACGAGTAAGATTCCAACAACGAACAGAATTTTCCTGTAACTTGGCAACCACTTAAAGGTTCAAAATCTGTTGCATAGAGGTGTAAGCCACATGGAACCTCCATCCCTTTCATCGTTCACAGTTTCAAATAATCGATTCTGGTCGGAGCACCAGACCCCTTCAAGAATAGATACATTTCCATGGGTTTAAAGGGAGAAATAACGATGTTGCCAATTTGCTAGATCCGCCAATGTTAAGTATCAATTTAAAATTCATTCGCGCTATTGAGTAGCCCTGTTTAGTTACTCTTCGGTGCATCCTCAACTCCTACGTATATATTTCCCTCATTTACAATCTAACCATTCCCTTGTTTTTCAAGTGTTGTACAACTCGGCAATGCTTTGGGAGATGATGATCCTGTGCTCATTTGCCCGCATGCTGTACAAAAAATATCTGCCAGAGGTTTACTTCACCAAGCCTGTTCAGTTTCCACGCCACATCATCGGTGTCATTGACAAGCTGGCCAAAGAAGATCTGAAAAATGACAGAACCCGGGAGGATACGAAAACCACTTCAGCCAGGGATAAATTTTGACTCGAAGAAATGATTTAAATTCTCTGTGATTTTTTACTCCCTGAAGAGGTATAATGGTCTGTGGTAAGGCAGTAAATGATGGAAAAAAAATTTCCCCTCTGAAAATATCAAAGGACCCAGTGATGTAAAAGACTGAATTTTTTTCCAAAAATGTAGACTTCGAATTTGTGTTTATGTCTATTTTTATTTGTAGACTTTAAGGGCACTTATATTCTTCTTATTCTTCAAAGTAAATTGAAGTTGTAAAGTCTTGATTTCTAAAAGAATTCCTGTGAAGGTAACAGATCTCATTTTAATCAGTTTTGAGCCAGTGTCTTCTCTCTTAGGCACTACTCTTTCAGACATCCCTAAATATCCCTTTTCTATTGATGATCCTTATTTTTGACAAATATCCACCGGCCAGACATTACAAGAGTAGAGTAGTTACAGCCTCTCACCATGTAAAAAAAGTATTCACAAAGTAGTCAAATGTACGGCAGAAAATATCTTATTTCATTATTTGCAAGAAGCGGGAGAGTATCTCATACACAAAATCATGACTTAATGTGACTAACTCATCATCTTGTCGGATTTTTTTACTTTTTATTTGACTGCAGGGTGAAGTGTGTAAGGTGGAAACAGATTTATGGGTCTCATTAATGCTAAGAGCCAGTTCAAATCCTACTGAATAATAATGATGTGAACCAAAAAAAGGCACTTGTCAAAGTTCTTGCAATATCAAATGACTAGTTCTTAATATTATCTGCCTTGAACAAAGGTTCTTCATTGTATCCATTCATTTATTTGTTTTTATTTTTGCATATTTAAAAAACCACTGTCATGTAATTTTTCTCTATTTTAATTGTGACTACATATAAATGTGTCGGAAAAAAACCCCCTAGAGTATTTCCAATTTTCTGTCCAACGCTTCATAATTATGATTCTAATCCATGTATTCACTAATACCTAAATGAGATTTGTCAAAATTTGTGGTCATCGTTCACCTCAAGTGCACT